ATTTTTCGAGGGAAATTTTACTTGAAAGCATTTAGGCTACATGTAAAAATGCAAACAAAAATGCAACAGAGAGAGAGAGAGAGAGAGAGAGAGAGAGAGAGAGAGAGAGAGAGAAAGAGCGGGAGTCCTCCTCCTCATCAACCTTTATTATCTCTCTCATGTTTTCACAATTTATTTTCATATTTTTTTATTTTTTGTTATGACGCATAATTTGCATGTTTAATAAGCTTGAGGTTAATTTAACGTAACATAAATGCAGGGTCGAATCTTTTTTCGGGCACACACAAACTAGCCGTGATCCCGATTCCGGTAGCAGTGTTCCAACGATTCACACTCAAACACAGTCTCGCGCACACAACGGTCGGCTTTCAGTCGAAATTTACAATTCCGGTGAAAGGGTTAAATGATTCGGTTGCCGCGGCGCGAGAGCCACCCTCCTGTTCCGTGCTCGATTTGCCAGACGTTGCGTATTACGACAAATGACACGAGTCGAATGACGCGTCCCGTCGGATTTTCGAGCGGGCGCAGACGAATGGACACAAATGGGACGCAGGAGGCGTTTGGCGCATTGGCTTAAAAAGATATATCCAGTATCAAGCGTATTTCGTTTCCGTCGCGCTCGACGTCCGGCAAGTCCGTCGGATGCTTGACAAACGTACGTCACGCGTGACAGAGACGAAGCGGGGATATGTTTTTTTCCAGCTAATATCCCGATCCTACACAGCCGTACGCGCTATTTCTTCTGTGTGTTCCGGCAGAGAGAGAGAGAGAGAGAGAGAGAGAGAGGGGGGGGAGGAGAGCTGAAAAATATATCCATTGACAGAGAGCCCCGAAATGCTCCACGACCCGACGCATTTTCGCGCCGCGACGCGCCGCGCAATTACCATTCTTCCGGAAAGTTACGTTACGCTTAAGCAAGGCGCCGTCCGGGACACCTAACGACCGGCAATCAGGAACCAGGGAACACACCGACACGCCATCGTTTCCTCGCCTGCGCTTCTTGCCGGTCGCCCATTTTCCTGACGACGCCCCCCGCTTCCTCCCTCGCCCGCTCTCGCCCTCTCTTGTCGCTCTTTATAATTCTTTACGAAACATTTTTTCCACCCTTTTCATCTCTCTCAAGCTCTCTTTCACCCTGCCCGTTCTGCCCTCCTCGCCCCTCCCCCACCCCCTCCCGGCCTCTCTCCTCATTGCCGACGCCCATCCCGTCGTCGTTTGCATAAAGTGAGCTATCCGCGCTTTTAATATACGCAAATGAAGTTACGCGCCGGAACTAATCATATTTGCATGCGGAACAGCAATCTCCTTTGAGCCCTTGTCATACTTATTACTCCGGTTTAGTCGCTAGGGAAAATTTTATGACGAACAGCGCTGACTTGCAGCGTCGAGGACGATCAGCGATTGATCCTTATCCGAGAGCCCCCCCTTTCTCTCTCTCTCTCTCTCTCTCTCTCTCTCATCAACCAGACACGTCTGGTGTTTCAATTTTCTGGTCGCCGCACGTTAAGTCACTTGCTCGAAATTATCGGCTGATAATAAGCACAGACACACACACACACGATATCATGTCTCGCAATCGCGGCGTATCGTTCGCATCTATTATCTCTGCGTAAATCAATATGGAAGAATACACACCATAAGCTTCGATAAAGCCCGAACGCGCTCATCGGGCCGAAACTCATTAGTCTTTCTAATCGTCCGCATCCTGCCGGGATGTGCGTATACATTATGACTGTTGATTATTCGGCCAATCTATCATTTTGACAGCCTTGCGTATCGTATCGTGTATCGTATTGTATTATATTACAGCCAGACACGATGGAAACGATTAGAAAGACCGGCTGGAGCTCGCAGTGCGTACGGAATGCTCGATCGATTGTTTCGCAATGATATACCATAGGTTCGTATACGCGAACCGTGCGCTCCGTCATGGACATGAGCCTGCGACGCGGCTGCATCTGAAAAGGATCGCTCTGTGTCGCAGGTATTCGTTCTTTGTCTAACTTTGTTCTTATTGGAGAGAGCCAGACGAGGATAACATGCCCGTGCGGACAGCCCGGTCTTTTATGTCTCGTCTTCAAAGTTCTCTTTGCATCTCGTCTTTCTCTCCCTCTCTCTCTCTCTCTTAAGAAGATACAGTCTACACATATACGAGTCTCTTTGATTGATATATGAGAAATAATACGCGTGTAAAAATCATACGTCTCGAGGAGAGTCACGAAAGAACAGGCAGCTATCAATCGCGCTCGAGAGCCGTGGTATTGTCGCACTTTCGTCAGCTATACGAGGTTTGATCAAAAAGTAACGAGCATTTTTAATTTTCTCGGAAAGTATTTATTTAATCTTCAATGTTTATCCCATCTCCTTCAAAGCAGTCCCCCTGTGATATTATACACTTATGCCAACGTAGTTCCCAGTTTGAGAAACACTTGTGGAATGCCTCTTTAGGTATCGTCTTGAGCTGGATCTGCGATTTCGTCTTTATCCCATCTATTGTTGAAAGACGTTGTCCTTTGAGTGTCCTTTTGAGTTTGGGGAATAGGAAAAAGTCACAGGGGGCCTTGTCTGGAGAATAAGATGGTTTTGCGATGGTTACGCGATGCTGTTTTTCTCGAAAATTCAGCAGTTTCGGAACAAATTTTGCTGCCACTTGTTTCATGTTGAAAACATTAGTAAAAATCGCTTCGCATCAGCCGTATGAAATTCCTAATTCTTCAGCAACCTCTCTAATGGTGATTCTTCTGTTGGCGAACACAATCTCTTCAACTTTCTCCACATTTTCATCACTGGTGGATCATCACGTGCTAGAACGCCCAGATCTCGCGTCATCTTCGATGTCTTCTCGGCCTTCCTGAAAGCGTTTGTACCGTTCGTAAACTCGTGGTTGTGACATATCAGTATCGTCGCCAAAGGCCTCCTTTAACATTTTGAACGCTTCGCTGCACTTAATTCCGTTTTTACCACAAAATTTCAGACAAACTCTGGTCCGACATTTCGCCACACAAAAAGTCGCCAAACACACTGAAGTACGTCTCGCTCATTCGCTCGCCAAACACAAACTAAGCGTCCCAGCTGCCTGAAAATTGACACGTACGTCACTGGTAGTGCTACTACCCCGCAAAAAAAAAAAAAAGAATCAACTGAATAGACAAGATACAGCGCGCGCAATTTCGAAATTCTCGTTACTTTTTGATCAAATCTCGTATATGGATTCGCGGCAGACATTTCCGCGGCTCCCGTAGCTCGTGTAAATCAACGTCCACAATTAAAACTTTACTCGATTAAAGTTACGTCGCAGTAACACCGGCTCGAGTCGTTCATTAAGGATTAACGAAGTCGGCCGTCTCGAATGCAATATGGCAATGTAAGGCAAACGTCACACAGCCGGGCCCAGGTAGATAGGTAGGTGGATGGGTTTGTGAAACATTCTCCGAGGAGGAGAGGAAGTCCGCAACTACGGCGGCAGAGAGACGCGGTATTCTTGCCGCTGTTCCCCGTGGAAACTTCCGGAAACGCGACGTTTGTCGTCCCCCCGCAATCGCGTTTAATTAATTATCGATCGACCCGCCGTCCGCGGACGACGACGTTCAATCGTGAATATGCTCCGTCGACTGACAATGAGGACGAAGCCGGGGCGGCGGTATTGTACGAAATGACCGCGTTCGAAAGACGAAGACTCAATAACACGGTTTATCGATCGCTCGTCGATTTCGCGATGTCGCACCGGCCTATTTAACAAATTCAAATCGGAATTCTATTAGGCGCTGGACTCGACGAGGAAGACTGCTGAAGAGCCTTCTCAAGAGGCGGGGAGAGATTCTCGTTCCGAGACGCGTACTCTCGCGCTTAACACCGTCGACGATTAAGGGCAACCTATTTCTACCGGAACGATCGAAATGACAGTTTTGGAAAAAAGTACGTTGTGCGCAAGGGTAAATAAAGGCTCTCTTCTCTATTCCTTTTACCTTTATTCAACGCCCATTAAAAATATAAAACGCGTTGTTGTATGAGCTCGAGTAACTTTTACAGAAAATTATGAATTTTTAATCTCCGCCATTTTTTATTCCTCGGTGGTTTTAGTGTTAAAGTAAATGGCTCGAAGAGCGGGAGAAATCGCAGTCGCAAGGAGAAACGGAGAAAGCGCCCCATCGAATCTACGTACGAAAGAAATTGTTCACTCGACGCGAAACATGCACGCACACACGCACGCACGCACGCACGCACATCGCCGTCCTGTCCGTTCATTGTGTTTAAACAACTTCAATTTTCCGGGAAGTCCGCCGATGCATTCGACGGGCGCATTATCGTCGGCTGTGATGCAACCGCATTTCGGTCACGCACGATCGAGTATTATCGTCATCATTGGCTGTAGCGGCCATTCGTGAGCCGCCGAGCATGCGGAGGTAATCGCAGTCTGGAGAAGCGCTTATAGAATATTGCGCGGCTTCAAATGTCGTATCGGAATACATTGCATCGATAACGAATCATGGATAAATAAGCGCGCCCTGCTAAAATCCGCCACTAGAGAAGGTTACCGTTATCGAGCCATCGAGCAATAATTAAAAGCTTTCACGTTCACTTCATTCTCCAGTTTCGTTATTCCCCCCTGCCCCCGCTCTCTCACTGCTCCCTGTCTCCTCTTTCTCTCTCTCTCTCTCTCTCTCTCTCTCTCTATCTCGTTATCGAGCGCCATCATCAAGATCGCTATTGAAAATTATGTGTCCATCAATCTAGTGCTTTGGCATATCGAATTAGTAATTTATCCTTTTATCGTATATTCGGGCACTTCGAAAACAAAATATGCGTGCGGAAATGAAACAAACTGAAATAAAAATGACGTAAAAATATGTAGGACGAAGTGAAGAAATGCGCAGGGAAGAACTTGTTACTGGAGCGCCTTTGTGACAATTTTTCTTCTCCGAAAGTCGTAAAGCGCGCGCTATCCGAGCTTCTATTTACTAACCTCGACTAACACTGTCTTTTCCTTTGCTTGCTTCCAGATTTAATGGCGCCCGGCCGCTAACCTCGCGAAGAGAACCCGCCACTAACACAAATATGAAACCCTAACTAACAAGCTCGCGCGCGCGACAAACTCCGGCCAGCGACGCGGCGGCGCGTCCCCGCGATCGCCGGCGCCGACGCTGCCAGCGTCTTGTCGCACTCCGCGTGGTCGTGTTCCGGAACGATCATGCGAATCCTCGAAAATGCGCAGAACCAGCAGCAACGGCCTCAAGCTCGACCTGACGGAGAACACGCCAGGTAGCTCGTTGTCGAGGCTGCCGAATCTGGTCGAGCATGCGGAGACCTGCCAGGCGCTGTCCGCCGGAACCGGTGAGAATTTGAGCAGCAAGTTGCCTAACGTGGTCGAGGGCTCGATGGACTATGGTAGCGAGCGCAGGTCCTCCCGTTACCTGGAGTACCAAGAGATCAAGTCCTACCAGGACCCCCAGTCGTCCGCCACGGCGGCGCCGGCCTACGAAGGGGGCCCTTACCACGACCAGTCTCGTGGCTATAGGAACTACGATCGCAAGGCGGCCGGCTTCGAGCGGGAGAATCTCGAGAGGTTCGACAACAGGATCTACCCGGAGGATGGGCTGAGGTACGAGCCACGCCGCGTGGATCAGCGCATCTACCAAGAGTCGGACCTGGACGCGCCGTACGATCGGAGCGACGCGCAGAAACTCAGCAAAACGTACCCTGAGCTGCAGGACTCCAGCAGACGGTACTCGCGAGACCTCACCGATTACGAGTACGCGTCGCGCTACGCCGAGGAGACGCTCAAGCTGGAGCCTAAGAAGGACCACCACCATCATCACCATCCGGCCAAGATTTACGAGGCGGCCGGCGCCTCCAAGGGCTACGAGTCGGGCGTGAAGACCCACGATTCCGCTTACGATCTCGGCTCCTGCTCCGGTCAGCAGGAGCCCACCGGCGCGAGGCAATATGAGAGCAAGTACCACTCGGTCAGCAAGATGTACGGCACCTTGCCGAGGTACGAGAGCAGCAAGTCCTATGAGCCGACCTACGAGTCCAGGTCCTTCGAGCCCAAGTACGACGAGCAGTCGTACGAGGGTGCTGGCAAGGGCTTCGAGGCCAAGTACGAGCTGACGAGTTCCAAGAGCTACGAAAGAGCCAGGTACGAGAGCACCTCGTCGGCCAGATACCAGGACAAGTCCTACGACCAGACGCTGAAGATCGGCGAGTTGGGCTCCTCCTCGTCCGGTGCTTACGTGAGGAAGCACCAGGATCAGGAGGAGACCGGCGCGGAGAAGATGAACGGCTACCGGAAGAACAATTTCGAGGCCTATGGGGTCTACTCGGACCCGGAGGACGACCACGGCTTCTTGGCGGACAAGAAGGCGCCTCAGTACACGTACAAGGGCGTCGTGGTGAACGTCAGCGGAGAGTCCGCGGTGGTCGATCAGAAACGCGCCAAGGACGGCAGGCAGACCGAGGTGACGAGGAGTCCTTGGTGCAGACCGACCATATTGCTGCTCCTGCTGGTGCTCTTGGTCGTCATCTTCGTCTTCGTCGCTGGGATATTATTGTACTTCAATTGTGAGTTTCTCGCACTTTTATCACACGCGTCCCTCCTCGCGTACTTTCCTCCCTTTACCGACGCCTCGGCTTCGTCGCTTTTCTTTCGGTGGAAACGCGCGCGCGCGTTTCTTTCTCTCTCGGCTCTTTGTTCGGCTGAAAACAAACACAGCTATTTGCCGTTGTAACGCGAAAGTGCGCTTTAAGCGCGATCTTTCGCGCGCCCGTGACCGTAACAACTCGCTCTCTTCGTAAGTTCTTTATATTCTCGATTAATATTGCGCGCAACACGAAATTCACAGTTGCCTCGCTCGTGCAAACGCTAAACGTTTACTCGGGAGCTATTATATGTAGCGTTTAATTTTGCATCAAGCGGTTCGGAGAATGGCCACTCTCGCGTATGCGTGCGTATATTCGTGCTCTTGACGAAATTTGCTTGGGATAATAATATCTTGTTAACGAACTGGCTAAGTGCTCGTATGCAGTATGGGAATCGCTGCGCCGAAATGAATATTTTCTACCAACAAAGCCCCCGACGTGCTGGCCGATCCCTTCTATGCAACGAAAGGGATGAAACAGGAATAAAAGAGGCCGGGGCGCGTTCGAGAAAGTTTGCAAAACGCTTATTCGTGTATTTATCATCTCGAGAGAAATAGTTGCGAAATATTCCTCTCAAGACATAGATACTTTTCCATGAGCTTGGAATAAAAAAACATTGCAATTGAGAAAGAGACAAGTCCGATTTGAGGGCAGCTGAAGAATTTCGAAACGTCCTGAAATTTCGTGTTAACATTTTTCACACTTTGCGGATGAGTAAACTTACGTGACACGTCATCACCTAGAATAAAATTTCCTATTGCTGTGTGATACACCGTCTTGTGCAATAAGAGTGATTTCCTTTCGTGCAATGATTGAAGAAAAAATCGAGAAAATTGAGATTAAATTGGTGCGAAGTGCTGCACGAGATCACGCACGTCAACTTATTATGACGGATGAATGTAGCTGAGTACAGTCATCAAAAATGACGGATCGAGAGAAAGAGAGAGAGAGAGAGAGAGAGAGAGAGAGACCTCAACCCTCAAGAATTACTCATTACAGTGATATTAATGAAAAGAACTAAAACCACAGGTCGTTCCGACAATCGAGAGTATATCTGAATTTTTCTAAAGCAGCAGAAAATTGTACACTATTACAAAACAGATGATACTATTTTAAACGATAAAACATTCCTCAAGCTGCACAAACACATACGTATTTTATACGTCGCTAACCTATTCCGGGCTGCTGCAGAACGTAGTGGATAGCTACTGGGGCAGCTCTACATGTTCCTATTTCGATTGTGAGAATGAAAAATGTACAGTTTGTAAAATCGCATCTAATATGAAGACATAGAGGAGGTCTCTTTTTCTTCTGCAGAGTCGATCGCAATAATTAAGGTAAATGTCCCAATAGCCGGACATTTAACGGCGCAATGCTACGACTGCTTAATTTTATGCATGTATCCCGCATTCGATTACCATTTATAATTTTCTTTTTTGTTGGATAATTTTTATTGGTAATTTTTATAATACTTGAAATGATTCATCATGTAAATATTTCTGAATATTGGCAGATTTCAGTTAAATATTAATACTACACTAGAGAAAATATTTGAGATTAATAATAATAAGTTTCTGTGTACATGTCCGAGGCGATTGGTATTTTTACTGGGGGGGGTATTTTTAGTTGGGCAGGATAGTTTAATCATTAATATCTCGCGCAGCGGCACGAAACGTTGGATCCGAGACATCGTTTCCAGAAGTGTCGCGACGCCGAAAAAGCATTCCTCCTTCGCTCTCGGCGTCCACTGCGACGGGTAATCGTTCGTCGATTCAATTAAAATTAACGCTCCCGAGAACTCCCGGCTAATTAAAGGTGATTCACAGACGCCCGATAACGAAGTCCGTGACAGGACACCGAACGTTTAAGACGCAGTAACGAGCCGCTGCTAATAAACGTTGCGCGTTATTTCTTTTTCCGCTCTCACCGCCTGTTAATAAGATGCACCATTTATCTTTATACAGTGTGTCCTGAAAGTCGCGCGTTTCCTATCGCCTATAAGTTCTCCGACTAGTGCGTACGTCATATTATATCTTCGCCGAGTAGACGAAGTCGCGATGTTCCTCCGAAATTTCCTTAAATTTTCCGGGCTTTTCGCTGGAGTTCGTTCGAATAGGCTGAACAAGACCGTTTTAAGACGGCTCGGTTCCGTCAAATATTCTATTTCAACATAGTACGTTGACTTCGGAAAAATTGCGTCCGAGACAAAGCGCGCGATTAAATAATGCTAGCGCCTCCCCTGTCTCGCGGGGAAGGTTTATCCTGTCTGTCTCGGCACATTCTACATCGCTCCTGCGCTGCGCATTTTATTGTCGCGTTACAGTGTTCGTGAGTCGACTCGGCGATAACGTTAGGCGATTTAGTTAATGAGCATCCGATACCAATTATTTACGGCCGTTCGCGCGTTTGCCATAGTAATGGCCGTGTTGCAACAACCGACGGCGTCGCTGCCGCCGCCGCCGCCCCCGCCGCTGAGAACAACGGCGACTACGGCGACGCCGAGGACGAGGACGAAGACGAGGACGAGGACGAGGACGGTGACACGTGCCGACGATACGTTAAGCCGGAACGGTTACTGTCTCCACGGTTAGTTTTATGTGTCGAATTTGACATGCCGGGCACGTAGAGACTTGCCACTAGCGAAACTGTTCGGTCGGAATTACAATGCGACCGGCGGATGGGAAGGCGGACCGACCGGTGGGTTTAAGGAAAATAGGTGGAAAAGAATGACGTACCGCGCGCGCCGGACCAATCCGTTTTAGCTTCATGCACGATCGTGTTTGTCGAGGACGGATGGCAACACGGAGAGGAACACCAAGTCGCGTTGCAACCGACCACAGCCCGGCAATCTTATATGACACGAAATAAAAAGTTCGACCCTTCCATGCTCGGCTTGTGCCCTTAATGTTTCCAGGGACAGCGCTCTCTCTTTCTCTCTCTCTCTCTCTTTCTCTCCCTCTTTCTCGGTGAATCGAACCGTCGAATCGAGAGACGCGGCGTTATTTTGTATCATCGCAGCCATCCCACTCTTCTTCAAAGATACACGAACTTATAAACGCGGCCTCATTGCTCAGCGTAGCGACATTTGAAGCTTTCGCTCAGCTCGCATCGTATCTAAATATTCATACGCCGTGACATTGTTGATTATTAATCAATTATTAATTGATATTCATTAGTCAACATCGTTACGCACGAGTATTTGGGTATACGCGATGCGTCTGACCGGAAATTTCAAATGTCGCCGTGGTAGGGAGTAGGATTGTATTTCTAGTTCTGAAGTTTAATGCGCAGAGAAATAAGAGAAAACGAGTTCCGACGAGCTTTCTCGTAAGAATATTTAGCTATCTTTAAATTATTATAATTCATTAATATTCCGCTCGGTTTTCTCTTTCTCTGTATCAATCTTTATCCCATAAACGCGCACTTTCTTTCCGAGACGAAATGGCATTACCGAGAAAATGATTTTGGCGCGTTTTTCCACTTTTTTTTAGAAAAATTAAAATTTACACTCTTATTTACTCGTCGTTATTTACTTCAGAATGGGCGAAATATTTGCAAAGCTCTCGCGAGAGATGCGATTTGGGTGAACCTAACATATTTATACGCAGCTTGCCGGGTCAATGCGGCGCGACTAGTCGAATAACATCGTTGCTCTGCACGGTAGAGGAGGGGAGGGGGAGCGATGTCTTTCGCCGCTAAAGCGCTAATGGATCCTGTTAAAACATTTCCAGAGAAAAATTTGCGAAAGCGCGGCTGGTGCATGTTACGCGCGTGTAACGTAACATTGGACGATGGACATTTTCAGATGGAAACATTCGCCGCACACAGAGAGAGAGAGAGAGAGAGAGAGAGAGAGAGAGAAAGAGAGAGAGAGAAAGAGAGAGAGAGAGGAAGGGAGGGAGGGAGAGAGAAGTACTCTCGAGTAGTATGAAACATTGCGATAAATGCCACTGCGGAAATATGTGTGCGGAAGTACTTCCCCGCTCGCGCGGTTATAAACAAGGTCGAACGCCAATATCAAAAGTAAAGGGCAGGTCCTTTCTCGCGGTGGATAAGCTGGTTGCAGGTCGCAGGTCGCGGCATCGTAACAGTTTACTACGACGCTTTCGCGTCCCGGCGCGGCTGTCTCATAGTTCGCACATGAGGTACTTCACATTTCCAATTATCCCGCTGAGATGCACAGCAGCGGGGCAAAGTGAATATTTTCGAGGTGAGAGTCATGCGCGGAATAGCGCTGATGTTCCGTGCGGCGAACGAAACGACGAGAGAGAGATCAGTTTGCGCATTCGGTCGTCAATATGCTCGAAGTGAGCGCGCGCGCGGAAAACGCAGGGAAATGTGCCGCCCTCCTCCTCCTCCTCCGCGCCACGTTCGAGTTATCCTCGCTAATAAGCCGCTGAATACGTTCGCCGTAAGGATTTATCGCCCGGCCGCTTTATACCCCGCGGATCACGTGTTACACATACAGGAGGGAAGATCCACTCTGTCCTTTAACGACGCCCTAAAAGGGAACGTACCGTTCGCGATGGAAATTCATTTTCCCCGCCTGACGCAGCGCGTTGCGACTGCCAGGACGCGAAACGGAGCAGCGAGGGCGAACGATTTATTCCTGTGATCACGCTTCGAGATTCACAATATTAACCCTATAAAGCTACCATCAGGTATTAAACTAACTTTTCGTGTTATTGTTTACTGCAAAGTATATGCGAGAATTGATTTGTTTTATCATAATATTGTCACTGCTGATAATGTGAATAAATACTTATAAAATTAATATTCTCAATACGTTTTTTAATGAAACGAAAAATTCACATGGCGTGAAATTTTACCCATGGTAATCATTAAGGTTTAAAAATGATAATATTAAAAGATAGAGTGCAAATGCGATCATCAGAAAGAGAGAGAAAGAGAGAGAGAGAGAG